AAAAAAAAAAAAATTAAAATTAATATTTTTTTTTTTTTTTTTTTTTTTTTTTTTCAATTATTATAAAGGATGTTTATCAGATGTTGATAATAATCTTAGTCATTAATATAAGCTAATATGTTTAAGTACTTCGATATATCATTATGACAAACTAATAATGATAACTGTTTAATATGTTTTTTTTTTACCTCGGCAATCCCCTGGATTTTGATTATCTTTGATGACATTTTCTCCATTTACAACAATTTCATTCCAGTCGATAGTATTTGCATAGCAAAGCGAAGGATTTTTTTCAATTCTGACAGCGCCTCTCAAAATCTTAGTCAACTTTGTTAAGCCAATCTGAAAAAAAAAAAAAAAAAAAAAAACAATATTAATTTTAATTGTATTATTTTTGTTGTTGATGATTCAAGATTCGATTGAAAGATCCATGAATTGTTATTATAAGTTATTATTATTCCTGCGTATGTGAGTAAAAGATGATTTAGAGCCGGCTGTGATGATGAGTAAGGAATAAAAAAATTAAGATAGTCATTTAATTCGGTTAAGTAGTTAACGGTATTTGACCTGGCAGTTAACCGGTCAAGACCGATGAATTAGTTTTAAGACTCAAAATACGGGGATTTTGCGTGGGAATCGCCAACGATTGAGAGTGAGACTTGTAGCTACAAAGATGAGACTGAAAGCGGCTGAGTCGAGATTGATCGTACGTGATGTGAGTCACGATCGATCAATCGACCAGTTTTACTTTTATTCTTCAGTAGATCGGATGATTGATATCTAACGTCATATTCAAGATCGCTATTATTTGTCTACCACTTAAATTTATAATTGAATAAATATTTATTGGTATTAATGGCTAATAAATATTATATGGCTGTTGAACTCAATTAAAGATTAATAATTTGATTTTGATTAATATGAAAATTTTATGTTCAATTTATAAATATTTATTTAATTAATTAAATAAATATAAGTGATATAAAACTTTGTGTTTTATTAATGAATAAAAAAAAACTTTTAAATGACGCTAATCTAGATAAAATATGTTAGTGTTAGTAAGTTCGGATAATAAATAATGATTACCTCTTCTAAGTTTGGTACTTCGTAGATCATAAATGAGTAATCTAGTATAAGTTTATCACCACGTATTACTTCTAAATTTGGAAACAAGTTTTGTAGCGAACGGAGATTACTTATACGATACAATAGCATATAACTTGTAATTTCTCGTAACTTTGGAAAACTAAGATCCTCAAAATCGCTCTCTTTGTTATTGTCGATCAATACTATCTGAAGAAAACCTTCAATGACTTCGCAGTCTCTTAATATTTCGAAATTGCTAACACGATTTCGAATATCGATGCTTTGGCAAATACCATTGGCGATAGTAAAATTCTTCAATTTACGTGGTCTCACAGATGTTTTTTTGTCGACTTTCGATGTTTCATTCGGTAGATTTGATTTTACAACTTGGTGTCTAATTTTACTCGAATTTCCATTATTAGAACTGCAATTAAGAACAAACACGTTATTAACAGTTATTATTATCATTATTATTATTATTATTATTATTATTGCGACAAACATTATTTGAAGTGACATTTAAAATACTATATTATCAATTAACATTTGTTATTAAAATTTTCCAGCTGATAAACACTAGTTTTACGTCACAGACTTAATTACCTACGTAAAAGAAAATAACAAATATTCAAAGATAAGTCAATTGTTATTAGATTAGCAAATATTTTCATTTAAAATAGTTTTTAACGTCAGTATGATTACATTTGCTAGATTCATGATTGAATGATGAAAATTAGATAATTGTAGAAAAATTGCGGTACAAAAATTAAAAAATTTTATAATTTTATGATCTTTTTGAATTTTCGTTCTTAATTTTTTAGAAAAAATTTTGTTAAATAATTGCTAATGAAATTATAGTTCATTTTATGAAAATAAGATTTAATTTTATATTATACTTGAATTTTTATGTTAAATTTATTTTTTGGTATTATTTAAATAATAAATAAGGTAAAGTACCCAGTAGTTGAACAGACTTGTAAAATTGTTGTAATACAAAATCTGTATATATATTATGAGTAATATGCGCATGTTATAATTATTCAATGATACAGTAATTGATTTTGGTAAGTTTTTTCAATTATAAATCAAAACAATTACATTTTACATTTTCGTTAACTTTAAAGTTGACATGTCGAGAATAACTGATAGATGCTATTTTTTTCATGAAAAAGGTACTAAACCGTAAACCGAACAATCAGTAAAAAAAAAAAACGGTATATCATCATTTTAAGTGAAAAAAATTGTACCACCCAATGAAATAGTCTTTTCTAAATAATACATATTTTTTGCAAAGACATAAACTATAATTTTTATATTAAATTTTAGCGTTCAACTATACATCCCAATTTTCAAAGCGGTACCCAGAACTTGAACAAGCTGGGACCGTATAGTTTTAACAGCACTCTAACCTTTAATAGGTTTATAGACTAGTGATCAGTATTGTGATTTGTATTAATTACTGCAAATTAAATAAGTTTTATAACTAAAAATTAGTATAGTTAAAAACTATTGAACGTTTTGAATTGAGTTTTTTTGATTTATAATTGAAAATTTACTTTGTCATTCATAAAAAATGTAATTAATAAATTAAATACAAATATTTCTCATTTTTTAATGAACATATTAAATATTCACAGTTATTTTTAATATTATTCAATAATATGTTATAAATCTTTGAATATTTCAATTAAACGTTAAAAATTTTTGGTGTGCCTATTGCCATACCTATATTTTATTAGTTCAACTACTGCTCCCGGAGTGTTCAACTACTGCGGCTTGTCAGAATTAATTGTTCAACTACTACTCCTTTCATAGTATATCTTAAAAACGTCGTCAAAATACAAATATTCAATTGTCTGCATTATTTTGCACTTCAATAAATTCAAAATTGTTTATATTTTCATAAAAATCACTAATTTGAACTAATAATTATAATTACATCTTTATACATTAAAAGTAGGGTCAAAAATACGTTTTATTTTGAAACCTGTTCAACTACTGGGGACTTTACCTTAGTCAAAATAAGAAAAAAAAATTTTCTTTTAATTTTTTACTAAGGAATTAATAAAATTTTTTTAGTTATAGAATTAAGCGTTATTTTGCACTTCAATCAATTCAAAATTATTTCTATTTTCATGAAAATCACTAATTTGAACTAATAATTATATATTTATAGATTAAAAGTAGAGTCAAATACGTTTTACTTTGAAACTTGTTCAACTACTGGGTACTTTACCTTAGAGATAAGGCAAATATTTTTGAAAAATTGCACTCATGGTTACTTAGAATTTTTTTAAGTGAATTTTTTTTCTGAGAATTCATTTATTTTAAAATTCTCAGATTTATGTTAATTTCAGTATTAATTATTTGGTAATTAATTTGACCTAATAAGCTACAAAATAGATGAATTGTATCATATATAAGCATTATAAAAATATCCTCACGATTATCAGTATAATATGCTTTGACAGTTATTAAACTAAAAAATAATTCAAAATCAATACAATTACTAAAGGAATAAAACTTGATTTAACTAATTAATTGTTACTGTTGAAGGTACTCGTGAAATATTTATTATTTGAATTTGATGCAAAGAAGAGATAATAAAGAAGATGATGTATTTTAAATCTAATAATTGTTGATAGTAGACAGTTGAAAAAAAAAACAAGAGCATAATAATCATGAAAATTATACCTTGAAACAGCAATGGCACGATTGTTTCTATTAACTGAACTGTCAGTACCATCATCGTCATCATCATTAATAGAATGTTCGGTAACTTCATCACTGTAGACATAGGCTCTGTCATGTAGCTCCGGATTATATTTTCCCTTAGAATTTTTATCACGATGCTTAGTATAATTTTTTAAAAATTTTTTGTTTGCTGATTTAATTTGAGATAGATGGTCATCCGCAATCGATGGAAGCACCAAGAAAAACACAATGCCAAGCGTTAATAACACCGGCAACAGCAACTTCCGCGTCTTCATCTTGTCGCTTCATGGACACGATTTTCACTGATTTATTCTCACGTCCGCGGGTCTTATCGAAGATGTCACGATGCTATTGTCCCTTCTACTCAATACCACTTCTACTGATTCTGATTCAGATGTAGATGCTGCTGCTTTTTTCTTATATTAGTCTCTCACTTGTCGATTGTCGGAACATATATCTTCGTCATTGATTCTTCTTCTTCCGTTAGTTTTCATACAGTTTTTTTTTTTTCCAATATGTAAATAATTTTATCTCACAATTAGCACTCACATGATCATAACGTCCGTATATTGATAATAATAGCAGTAACGTCACGATTATAATCCCACCTGCTTGAGAAAAACACTATTGTACCCAATATAAACCGCATCTGTACTGGACAACAAAGACTCGAGTCCTTATGTCTTTTAATCGCTTCCAAACACATATGAGATACAATATAAGGATTAAATTACTTTTTAAATTTTATAATTGAAACTTTGTTTTAAGTACTCCTAGAAAACAGTCTTTTCACTGGTGCTGCTGGCTGGTGCGTTAATTTTATTTTCTAAAACAACTTTTTGTTGAATATGAAGAATTTCTTTGACTTCATCATTAACATAAGTCAATTGAAAATTCCAACCGCCACCTGATAAAATGAAAAAAATTACGTTAATATTTATATTATACTTAAATTATACACTTTTAATAATATTTAAAGTTAATTTTTAATAATAATGATAATAATTTAGCTCACAAACTTTGAATTAAATTAAACATTAACATAATTATTTAGGCAAGTTCTAGAGTACTTAAGTACTCAAATAAATCAATGTGTTTTTGAATCAATGTACTTTGAAAAATTATTATTATTATTATTTGATAAAGATAGATAGTTATTATTATTATTCTTCTAAGCCGAATACTCCCGATCCAAATTTTCTTGAAGAATGACTAATTTTTTGATTATTACTTTTTCACCATAATATTTTATCGGTATAAGGTCTCATACCATCAGAGAAAATTTAGGTGAAATTTACAATTAAAATTTGTTTTTCGACAATTATTGTTAGAGAAAGATGTAATTTTTACTCAGTGTAACTTTTTTCAGTAACTGAAAAAATAACTCAGACAGACCAGACCAGGACTCGAACCTGGATCTCTTGGTTACGCGCCAAATGCTCTACCAGTTAAGCTATCTGAGACACTCTTTTTCAGTTACTGAAAAAAGTTACACTGAGTAAAAATTACATCTTTCTCTAACAATAATTGTCGAAAAACAAATTTTAATTGTAAATTTCACCTAAATTTTCTCTGATGGTATGAGACCTTATACCGATAAAATATTATGTTTTTTCAGTAACTGAAAAAATAACTCAGACAGACCAGACCAGGACTCGAACCTGGATCTCTTGGTTACGCGCCAAATGCTCTACCAGTTAAGCTATCTGAGACACTCTTTTTCAGTTACTGAAAAAAGTTACACTGAGTAAAAATTACATCTTTCTCTAACAATAACTGTCGAAAAACAAATTTTAATTGTGAATTTCACCTAAATTTTCTCTGATGGTATGAGACCTCATATCGATAAAATATTATGGTGAAAAAGTAATAATCAAAAAATTAGTCATTCTTCAAGAAAATTTGGATCAGGAGTATTCGGCTTGGAATAATAATAATAATAACTATCTATCTTTATCAATTAATAAAACCGATCTTCGAGTCAAACATATATATATGTACATATAGATATATTAAATACCTTAATTATTATTATTATTATTATTATTATTATTATTATTATTATTATTATAATAAAATACATGTTACTTGATAGGATCACTATCATTAAAACGCAAGCGAAAGTTATTTAATAAAAAAACATAAATACAAGTGAAAGGTGTGTAATTTTATTTATTTTTTTTTATTTCTTTTTAATTCATATTCATAAAAGGTTTTTTTTTTTCTCTTTAACTTCATTAAGTAACGGGCTGAGGCATGAAGTTGTGCAAGTCAGTGTGCAAAAAAAAATATCAAAGAAACAGAAGTAGTAAACAAAAACAAAAAACATAAAGAATCAGAAGAAGCAAAATGGATAAGAGATCTTTTGGTAGTGCGGTTATTCAGATACGATTCTAAATTTTTACAATAAAAGAGAATATACGTATGTATATACGTGTGAAGCCAAATGGTGGGAATATTACTACATTGGCTTCCGTTGACGTATCAGTTGCGAATCCGCCCATTCATAATTTCACGCGATAACAAGAATGACTGGTATGTGTTCATTCGTAGAGATTATTTGCTTTGCTTTGCTTTACTGATCTTTATTTTCCTATCATAAATACTATATATATTCTATAATAATGTAAATATACAATATCTCTTTCTATATGACCATTTTTTCTTTTTCTCTTTCACTCTTGGCTTGATATTTATCGCCATTTCATTTCATTTATCTTTTACACTCTCACGAGGTTAACTTCTCTTCTCAATTTACTCGGATGACGCAGTTTGTATTCGAGGTAAACTTCTCAGCTTTTTTTTTTTAAAGCCGTATTTTCTTCGGCTGTTGATAATTGCAAATAAAATGACAAAAAGGGAAATTATAATTTTTTTTTATTGGCTCATTAAGGTGCGATAATTTATCTCTCATTTAGTGTTTAAGATGAATACACTTTTATTAAAGTCGACGTTCCGTTTAAAATATCAAGTATATGTTTTAGAAATATGTATATGTATGTTTTACATTTTTACATTTAACACGTAAGTATGTTAACTTTGTCTGGATCTTAAATATTTCGAGAGTCCACGTCATGGTTTAAGGTAGATAATAAAAAAAAATCGAGACGGTTAAATATCACGACTGTCGAATTTGTTGATTTATTATTAATAACTAATAATTATAGAGTAATTGTTGTTTAAATTTTTTAAATAATAATAATAATGCTATTACTAAATGTAATGTTTGAAATTTCTTATTTTAAAAAAATTTTTATCATTAATTTTCCATTAATTTTGGTTATTTTATATCTCAAAGCTTGGATCTATCCTATATGAATGTTAACAAGGTAGTTGTAGCGTGAAAGCCATTTCAACAGAAAATTATGAAATTTTTTTTATTGAAAGATTAATATATAAATAATTCACTACCAAAATTTCAGATCAATTTACCGCACTGTTTTTAAGTAATTAATTTTTGAAATTACATTTTTTACACGTAGAGGTATAGAGAGATGGTAAAGTTAGTATGAAATCTTCCGTACCACTCGAGTGGGCCAAAGATTTCATACTAACTTTACCATCTCTCTATACCTCTACGTGTAAAAGATGCAATTTCGAAAATTAATTACTCAAAAACGGTGCGGTCAATTGATCAGAAATTTTGGTAGTGAATTATTAATATATTTATCTTTCGATAAAAAAAATTTCATAACTTTCTGTTGAAATGGCTTTCACGCTACAACTACCTTAAGTATAAATGATTTACGACGAATTTTATTTGCAAAAAGTTTAAAAAAAGAAAGAAATAAATTTTATAAACACAGATAAGTTATTATTTAAAATTGGTGAGTCTACAACCTATACTTAATCACAAAAATGGAAAAATCAACATTATTAAAATTTTTTTTAGACCATCATATATTTTTTTTTTTAAAGATTCTTAAAAATAAAATTATTTTTTTCTAGTTAAAAATTGTAAATTATTTTCGTTTTTATAGTGATAGAAAGTTAAAAAAAGTGCCATTCGGCAGCCGAAATAGAAATAGATTTCATTATGAATAATAAAAACGAGTGCAACAGCAAATTCAGGACTTAATTTTAAGACTACACATATAATATGGTACTCGAATTAAAGCTTATTTAAAGAGCTTTCAGATGAAATTTACAGAAATTCAATAAGTTATCCCATTCCAAAGTTATTCGGGTTAGAAAGTGTAGGAAGTTATGGATAGGATTAATAATAAATAAAGTGAAAAACAATATTATTATCCACATAGAGTGATTCAAATAGAATCTTTATTTTAAAGAAAAGAATCGTATCGAGAGAAGTGTCGTTACTTGACAGAGTTTAGTCGCAGACTAACTATAATGTTAAAAACTATTTTATTGTGAGGTCTAACCCTCTGTATTGTCCTTAGTAAAACACATATTTTTCTTCTTAACTACACGGAAAGAACAACAACTCACTGGGTGGTATGCATAGTAAAAAAAATTTCAAACTATAGTCAATATCCTTTAAAGTATACTCGGTTAAATAGGAAACTTCACGGAGTACAGTTAAAAACTCATGTAGTATACTTTAAAAGATATTGACTATAGTTTGAAATTTTTTTCACTATGAATACCACGGAGTATACTTTATGAGTATGTACAGTGAGTTATTGTTCTTTCCGTGTAAGACCGTAATATTTGGTTATACTATACAGTGTAAAATAGAGAGTCCTTTGTACAACTCAAGTACCTAAGGTCATAAAATCAAGCCTATTCGCCCCAAGGGCAACAGAGCTAGCGCTCGAGGTGACAATTTTAATAACTTCGTACCCAGAAAATCCCATGTTATTTCCCATAAGACGCGACATCTGCGATAAAAATCGGAACTTCACTCCCACTCACGGATATACACAGACGCGTAATACACTTACATTTTCTGTGAGTGTATTAGTTGCCCTCGGAGCGAATACAGGCTTTCTTATTCTAGCTGCACAAATGTGCCTTGAATGTGTTTTTCACATATAAAAACTAATAAAAGAAAAATACGTTATTTTTCTAAAATAAATATTTCTAAGAACTAAATATATAAAATATAAAACTAAAAGTTTGTAACTGGAATTTATTTTTGCTCAGAGAATCCAACAGAAAGTGAAAAAATATGAATTTTTATAATTTTTGAATCCTGGCATTTTTAAAAAATTTTACGACTACACATATGATATGGTACTTAAATTGAAGCTTATTTAAAGAGCTTTCAGATGCATTTTACAGAATTTCAATAAGTTATCCCATTCAAAAGTTA